CCTCTTATCAAAACACTGGCTGAAAACAAACTAAAGGAACAGAGCCTTCATTGACCACACATTATAAGAAATATGATCTTTGAGGCTGGGTGTGGTATCTCAGTGATGGTAATCCTAGCAGTCTGGGAGACTGAGGTGGGAGGATCATTTAAGCTCATGAATTCAAGACCAGCTTGAGCAAGTACAAGATTGCATCTCTACAAAAACTAGGGTAATTGATCAGGCATAATGATGCATGCCTGTAATCCTAGCTACTTGGGAGGTTGAGGCAGAAGGATCACTTGAGCCCGGGAGTTTGAGGTTGCAGTGAGCTATGGTGATGCTACTGTCCTGTAGCTGGGGCAACAGAATAAGAATCTGTCAAAAGAAAGAAAGAAAGAAGGAAAGAAAGAAAGAAAAAGAAATACAGGTTTTGAAAAACAACAGTCTGGTAAATTTATTACACAAATGGATTAATGCAGCATTCAGTCAAAAACAGCAAACCCTTGGGAAGAGGAATAATTTAATTTCCAGACATGCCACATTGTTATATACAAGTGTCCATTTTTCAACAAGAAGATTACATATATAATGAAATAGTTAAGTGTTGCCCATTCAAAGGACTAAAACAAACAGAATTCATCTCTGAGGAAGCCAAGACATTGGAGTTAATAGAAAAGATTTAAGTTATCTTTCTTAAATGTGCTCAAAGAGCTAAATAAAGCTGGAGAAAGAACTAATGGAAATGAGCACAATGATGTAACAAAATGAGAATATCAGAGAAGGGATAGAATTATAAAAAGAAACTAAATATAAATTCTGGAGCTGTAAAGTGCAATAACTGAAATAGTAAATTCACTGGAGGATTTCAATAGCAGATTTGACCAAACAGAAGAAAGAATCAGTAAATTTAAAGATAAGACTATTGAGATTATACAGTTCATGGAGCAGAAAGAAAAAAGAATGAGGAAAAGTGAATAGTAAACCCTAAGGAACTTGTGGGACACCATCAGCAAACCAAAATATACATATGGGCATCCAAAAGCAGAAGAGAAAGAAGAGGAAGAAAGAGTACATAAAGAAAGAATAGCTGAACACTTCCCAAATTTGATGAAAGACATGCATCTATAAATCCTGGAAGTGCAATGAATCCCAAGTATAATATATTCAAAGAGACCTATTTAAAGAGATCATTCAAAGTGATCTTATTGAAAGCCAAAAATAAGAAGATCATCTTTCTTTTTTTTTTTTTTTTATTTTATTTGAGACAGAGTGTTATTATGTTGCCCCTCGGTAGAGTGCTGTTGTATCACAGCTCACAGCAACCTCAAACTCTTGGGCTTAAGTGATTCTCTTGCCTCAGCCTCCCAAGTGGCTGAGACTAGAGGTGCCTGCCACAACATCCAGCTGCTTTTTTGTTGCAGTTGTTTAGCTAGCCCAGGCTGGGTTCAAACCCTCCACCTTCAGTATATGTGGCTGGCGCTGTAACCACTGTGCTATAGGCACCAAGCAGAAGATCATCTTGAAAATGGAAGAAGGAATGACTTGTCATGTACAAGATATCCTCAGTAAAATTAATAGCTAGTTACTCACAGACATCATATAGGGCAAAAGGAAGGGGGATGACATATTTAAAGTGTGTGTGTGTGTAAGGGAAGACCACCAACCAACCACACAATATCTAGAAAAGTAATCTTTCAAAAATGAGGGACAAATTATGACATTCTCAGATAAACAAAAGCTGAGAGAATTTGTTATCAGTAAACCTGCCCTATAAGAAATGCTAAAGGGAGTGAAATGAAAGGCCAGAAAACAGTAACTTTAAACCATGTGGAGAAATAAAGATCTCCAGGTAAATAACTGGATAGGTAAATGTAAAAGCCAGTATGATTACATTTTTAGTTTGTAATTCCATTTTTAGTTTCCTGCATGATATAATAAAATAAATGAATAAAAAATGATAATGATAAAATGAATAAAAATGATAAATGAATAAAAATAATTTTTCATCTTCATTAGTAGGCATATAATGTAATTTGTAGTGACAAAAACATAAATGGGTAGTATTTAGCTCTGTAGGAGCAGAGTTTTTATATGTTACTGAAGTTGGTATTAATTGAAACTAAATTATTAGAAATATAGGCTATTAATTAAAACTTCCATTGTAACTACAGAGAAATTATATGAAAATAAACACAAAAGAAAAAGAGAAGGGGATCAAAATGGCTCACTATGAAAAACTGCATACAGAAGAAAAAAATAATGGACATGAGGGACAAAAAAGCATAAGACATACAGAAAAAAGAAAAATGTTGAAGTACTTCCTTATAAGTTCTTCCTTCTTTACATTAAATACAAATGGATTAAATTCTCCATTTCAGAAGGCAGATATTGACAAAATAAATTTAAACCATGATTCAAGTATATACTGTTGATAAGAGATTCACTTTAAATCCAAAGACACAATAGCTTTGAAAATGAAAGGATGGAAAAGGCTACTCCATGCATATAGTAGCCAAGAAAAAGTTGGGTGGTTATACCAATATCAAACAAAATATCCTCTAATTTGAAAACAAAGAAAAACATTATATATTGATAAAAGAATCAATTTGTCAAAAAATAATGATAAATATAGATCTGATAATTACATTTGGAGAACTCATCCTAGAAAAAGTGCTGCATGCCTTTTTGCTGAATATCACTATGGTCACCTTCCAAGTACTCCCCTGAGGAAGATATGCACTTATGCCAGGATTTAGTCCACTCTTCAAAACAATTTTGGAACTCTTTTTCTGGAATGACCATCAGAGCTGTTGTTATATGGCATACAAAAACACCCAGCACAATAATGAATGCCACTCAGCAAGGCACTTCCATATGCTGACATGATCACTGCTGTGAGACGCTGATGTATTAAGGTTGTAAAACCTTACTGAATTGTTTGTACAGTTCTGCCAAAGTAAGCACACAGGGGCCAGTTATGAACTTAATCATTTGACCTCATATGATGACAGCTTTGATGGTCATTTCAGAAAGAGAGCTCCAAAATTGCTTTGAAGGAAGGACTAGGCACTGGAGTTAGTGCATAGCTTCCCAAGAGGAGTACTTTGAAGGTGATCATAGTGATATTCAGCAGTGAGGTATGTAGCACTTTTTCTAAGTTTAGTTCATGAACTTAATTATCAGACCTCTTATATGTAGCAAACAACAGAGCCCCCAAATACTTTGAAGGAAATGAAAAGAGAAAGAGATAGGTCTACAGTAATTTCTGGAGACTTCAATTCTCCATTTTTTGCAATGGACAGACCATCTAGACAGAAGATTAGTGAGGAAATAGAGGACTTTAATAGCACTATAAACCAAGTAGACCTAAGTAGAGACATTTGTAGAACACTCTGTCTAATGAGAATAGAATGCACATTTTGCTCATGGACATGAAACATTCCCCAGGTTAGATTATAAATTAAACCATAAAATAAGTCTCAGTAAATTTAAAATATTGAAGTCATACAAAGTATCTTTTCTAAACACAGTGGAATGAAACTAAAACTCAATAATAGAAGTAAAATTTAAAGATTCACAAATAGGTGGAAATTAAACATTTAAACAACCAGTTGGTAAAAAGATATAAGGGAAATTAAAAAATACTTTGACGTGAATAAAAATGAAAACATAACATACAGAACCTGTGGGATGCATCAAATACAGTGGTCAGAGGAAAATTTATAATGATAGATGCATACATTAAAGAAGAAGAAAGATCTCAAATTGATCACTTGACTTTATACCTAAAGGTACTAGAAAAAGAAAAGCAAACTAAACCCAAGGCTAATGGAAGGAAGGAAATAATAAAGATTAGACCAGAGATGAATAAAATAGACAATAGAAAACAATGGAGAGACTCAAGTAAATCCAATCTTTGTTCTTTAAAAAGATAAACAGAATTGACAAACTATTAGTTAAACATACAAAGAAAAAAGAGAATATAAAAATAATAAAATTAGGAATTAAAATGGGAGCATTATTACAGATCTAGCAGAATTAAAGATAATACTTTTGACAGTTGTATGTCAAAAATTAGATGACTTAAGTGAATTGGACCAATTCTTGGAAGCATACAAATAATAAAAACTGATTCAAGAAGAAACAGAAAATCTCCAGAGACCTATAACATGTAAATCAACTGAATCAGTAATTAAAAAAAAAATCTTTCAGCAAAAAAGACTGATCAGATAGATTCATTGGTAAATTTTAGTGTACATTTAAAGAAGAATTAGCACCAGTTATTCTCAAACTCCTACAAAAATATAAGAGGAAGCATTTCCCAACTTATTCTATGATGCCAGCTTATTCATTATACTAAACCTGGATAAAGTCATCACACACACAAAAAAATTACAGACCAATATCACTTTCAAGTGACCTAAATCTAAGAACCACAAAATTCTTAGTAGAGTATATAGAGATAAATCTTCATGACTTTGGATTTGACAGTGAATTCTTAGATATCACACCACAAGCAATAACAACAAAAGAAAAAAAAATAAATTGGACTTTGTAAAAATTAAAAAAAATTTACATCAAAAGACATTGTCAAGAAAGCAAAAAGACAACCTATAGAATAGGATAAATGTCTGACAAGCATACATCTAATAAGGGTCTAGTATCTAGAATATATAAAGAACTCTTACAACTCAACATCAAAAAAACGAACAACCCAATTAACAAATAGGCAAAAGAGTTTCTCTGGAGGAGATATACAAATGGCCAAAAAACATGTGAGAAGATGCTCAACATTATTAGTCATTAGGGAAGTGCCAGTGTTTGTACAATGAGATACCATTTCATACCCACTAGCATAGTAATAAAAAAAAGGGAAAATAAAAGTGTTGGCAAGGATGTGGAAACATTTGAACCCTTGTGGGTATGTAAAATGGTTCAACCTCTGTGAAAAACATTGTGATGGTTCTTCAGAAAGTTAAACATTGAATTACCATATGACTCCACAATTTCACCTCTAGGTGTGTAACCATAAGGGTTGAAGACAGGTACCTGAGCAAGTGCATGTACGTGCATGTCCATAGCAGCATCACTCCCTGGAGCAGAATGATGGAGATGACCCAGATGCCTGTCAACAGAAGAATGGATAAACAAATAGTGGCATATTTATAAAAAGGAATATTATTCAGTGACGAACAAGAAGGTAATGCTGATACTGCTACAATGTGTATAGACTTTGAAAACGTCATGCTAATGGAAAGCAACCAGGCACAAACCAGTCATATGTTGTGTGATTTCGTTTATATGGAATATGGAAAATAGATAAATTCATAGACTCAGAACTCACGTTGGTGGGTTTTCAGAGGGAGGGTGAGAGGAAAGCAGAGAAGAACAGCCACTGAGTTAGGGGTTTAATATGCAGTGATGGAAATGCTTTGAAACTAGGTAGAGGCAGTTGTTGTGCACCATTGGGGACTTTCTAGATGTCACCAACTTGTTTACTTTAAAATGGGCACTTTCCCCAAATGTCCTCTCACTCTGCTTCATCCTCTGGAGCCTTCCCCTGGGCTGGGAGTGGATGGTGGCCCAGAACAGGCGCTGTTCTGTGTCTGAGAAACTTGGTGGCCATGACTTCACATGGGGACTGGGGAGATGGCCTATTTCTGCACTCTGGATCTGCGTGAGGCTCCACCCGTGGCCTGGGGTGCTTCTCCCTGGGGAAGTAGTGTATGACACGGTGGAACTTGGAATCCCAGGAAAGTGGGATTAGGGTAAGGTACTTCTTGACCTTGCAAGAACATTTTACACTTTTTCATCTGAAGGAATAGCACACCTGAGCCAGCATCATGGTCCGTTTGTGCAAGGTCACACGAATAGTCGGTTATTACGTGATCACGGGTCTTAGGTGTGCTAAAGTGGCAGAGGCTTCTGGGACTTCCTCAGTACCCACACTTCCCAGTTCCTTTTCTTTTATATACAGAGAAATTGAGACTCAGGCATATTAAAAATTTGCCTGGAATTTAGAGTGGGAAAGTGGGGTAGTGATTGCCCAGGGCTGGGTGACTGGTTGTGAAGAGGGAGCAGCTGATGGTGGGTGCAGGGTTTCTTTGGGGCTGACAAAACTGTTCTAAAACTGATTGTGGTGCTTATCACACAACTCTGTGTGCTAAAAATCATCAAATTCTGAACTTCAAATTAGTAAGTAGTGTGGCAAGTGATGTGCACCTCAATACAACTATTATGTATTATTTTAAAACATCTGGGCTCAGACATGGCTCTCTTACAACAATAATGACCTTTCATCATGAGCCTCAAATGACCCTTAGCCCAAATTCCTGTATCTTTTACCCAGACTGGTTTGAATAATTGCTTTGATCCTCTAAGTCACCTTCCGTGTGACATTTCATGAGCTCACCCCTGTAAGACAGATACCACTGTGCAGTCCTCTCCTGACCATCATACTGAATATGGCAGAACTCTAGCCAGATCATTTGATTGGAATGAAGATGGATTTGTATTTTGGGAATAAAATCTGCTCAGGAAACAAATAATGAAGTGTTCAATTTTCAAGGCTCTCCCCATGCAGTGGACCCTGCTGGGAAAGCCATCTGGACATTGGTAGGAGAGGGTCACAGTGGATAAAATGGGAAAAGATGAGCCCCATGAGGAGGTCACTCCACCTCTGAAACTACCTAGACACAAACCAGATGCAGGGACACCAAAGTTCTCCTGAGGCATTTGGTGAGGGCATGCCGGTAGCATTCACTGGATCACTGCTAGCAGAAATGCTTTGTGTAAATAGCAACCCCAAAGCACATGGAAATATGTGAGCCCAAAGCTCATTTCTTGTCAGACACAATGGCCCTGTGGCCACTGGGCTGAAGTGTGTGATGACTCTGGTTTCCTGGGTATGGCCACTCTTCTACCTGAGGTTTCTCTGATGGGCACAAAGCCAGTGCCACCCTGCTACCTGCACGGATTTGGGAAGGGCTCCCCCCAGAGAAGGTGGATCTCTAGGAGGAATATGCTCCGTGCGTGATCCGGGTTCCCTGAATGTTCTTCACTGTGGTGGCTTTGATTGGTCTGTTTGTGAAGATGCCATCTATGCAGAAAGGAGCCGTACTGGGTGTGAGATGATTCTCCTCAAAATAGCTGCTTCTTTGTGCCTGTCTCCAACATACTTTGTTCTGTGCCTGCTGTCAGCGCTGGGTGAGGTGGCCGTGCCCTCCTGACCCAAGTTCAGTGGTCTGTTGCTTATTTTATCTCCCCAAGAAAAACAAATTTCTCTCCATTTTGTCCTATTTCCTATCAGATAGAATCTTTTGTTTTCACTTGCTGCCTCATCAGCTTCTAAGAATTTTTTTCATCTTGAGACCTGTTGAGAGGCTCAGGGTTTCATGATCTGCAGCCAGGCTCCAGCCCAAGGTCGAGGATTCCCTCCTTTTCCTTCCCAGTATTGTCCAGCATCCTGCAGGGCCCCATCCCCGGCCACACTGGCGAGACAGTGCTGCCTGGCATGCGAGCCCTCCTGCTGCAGGCGCCACAAAGCCTTCACCAAGCTTTGCCACTGTGGGTTCACACCCCATTGCCACCGGGGTGAAACAGGAGGGTGTGTGAGAGTGAGCTCCTTGTGACCCTCAGCTCTCTCTTGGGAGCAGGTGGCCTCAGGGGTGAGGGGTCCCTCACACACACTCAGCACCTTCTTCCTCTCTGGCCTGGGCTTTGCTCAGATGGACAGCACATGTGTCCTGCCCACCTGCATATGCTCTTTACCAGATGCCCAGTAGGGTGCCCAGGGAAATTAGCTCAGAGACATCACTTGAGCAGCACTCAAGAAGTAGTTGTTGGCTGGAGGTCTGCAAGGGGAACATTGAAAGGCTTTCAGTTTCATTCAAGGCCCATTCTTGGAACACACTGCCAGGCAGTGCACGTGACAGGAAGCTAAAGAGGGGCTTGTCCCTAAGTGAGGAAGGAGTATGTCCTGCATGAGTGACGACTCCAGCTATACTTTGTGTGTGCAAGGCCAGGGAGAAGGTCAGCAGCATCTCAGGGACGTGGGGTGAGTGAGGTGCGGGGAGGCAGTCAGCAGCATCTCAGGGACGTGGGGCGAGTGAGGTGCGGGGAGGCTGTCAGCAGCGTCTCAGGGATGTGTGGTGGGTGAGGTGTGGGGAGGCAGTCAGCAGTGTCTCAGGGATGTGGGGTGAATAAGGTGTATGCTGACATCTAATGAGCACATAGTAAGTAAGCTCCAATTTCAGAAATCTCTTAAAGAATTATCTTTGTCATTTCTATTTTGGGTAAATTACTTCACTCAGATTAAAAAAATTGCTTTTTTCTGAAGACTGTTTAAATCATTTGCATTAAGAGAATGGATCAATGTAGTAATAACTTTGGAGTGTATGGCAGTATAGGTAGGAGGACTGAGACCCCTGCTCCACTAGGCCACAGCAGTGGGCATGGAAATGGATTACTGCAAATGTGATTTTTTCCATATATTCTGTGGAACACCCATCGCTGCAGAGGGGTTCTAGGCAATTCATGGGAAAAAGGTATATTTGGTCCAGACAGAATTTGGAAATATTAAGCAGGTTTCTTCTCTGCAAAATCTCTACCCTGGCTATGAAGTATGCCCTATTTCCCAATCACATTTGAGCACAGAACCCATTCTCCCTCATAAGTGCAGAACATACATCTCAGAAGTACTGGTGTGTGAGGAGGAAAGGGCCCGTGCAGGCAGAAGATGCATGCAGGAGTCTCCAGGTGATGCCCCTGAAGCCTGGCTCTGTCCCCTGGGAAATGAGGGTGCCTTCTGGGTGCTGGTGGGCCGCGGGGCTGTGTCTGACAGCTTTATCCACACTTGGGTAATGAGCCCTGGCATCTGGACCTCTTATCCCCTTGCCCATAGCCTTTTTAGGATAATGTGGTATCACCAGCAGTTGGGGGAGGTGGGCACTACCATTGAGGCAGGCAGAGGAGAGGATGTGAAATCACCTTCCTTGGCTCCCCGCAGCAGGACGGTCTCTGCTTAGCAAAATGCCTGAAGTTGTGAAGTGGGACTTGGTAACCTGGCATATCTAATTTTTTACTCATTCATTCATTCACTCACTCATTCAACCTATACCCACAGAGTTCCCTCTGAGTGCTAGGCATTGTGTGTGGGCCACAGAGATATTATGAAAAGCAGGCTGCCACTGTCCAGTGTGGGACATAAACTTATCAAATAAGCAAAAGCAGGAATGGCAAATGTCTGCAAAAGTCCAAATAGTAAAGACCCCAGGCGTGGTGGGCTGCGTGGTCTCTGTCGTAAGCAGCAGCTCTGCTCAGCTCTGTTGCAGTGCCAACAGCCACGCCCTCTAAGCACAGGAATGGGTTCTGCTCCTGTGGGACTTTATTCATGGAAACAGGAGGAGGTGACTTTGAACTGCAGGCCGTGGCTTGCTGACCCCAATCAAAATAGTAAATTCATGGCTGACATGTGCTTGGTGCTATGGAGGGTGATGTGTGGCAGACCGGACATATGAGGGGCTTTAATGCAGTAGAGCTTGTACTTGAGAGATGAGAAGTTGGTAAGAAAGGGAGAGAGCAGAGCGTCACAGACAGAAGGAAGTGTGAGATGCACTCAGGAGGGAAGTGGGGCCATACTCTGGCAAGGCTGGGACTGTGTCTTAACTCTAGGGATAGTGGATTGTGTTTCCAGAAGGGTACACATGCGGTCATGCTCTGGGACTGTGCTGCTGGCTGGGAGGTACGCAGGGCAACAGGAGGCCAGTGCCTGTTTTTGTGATGACACGTGCTGATACATGGGAAGAGGCTCTCAACAAGTGAAGTCAGTGCCCTCCACACTGGACTTAGACATGGATGGGCTAAGGCTGCAGGAGGGGCCCAGAGTAGCCCCAGGTGCCTGGCATGCCTGCCTGGATGGCTGTGTCATTTCTGACATAGAAAACACAGAAGCAGACAGGTGGAATGGGAAACTGTGAGGTCAACAGTGAGGGGACAGGTCTGTCCCTCAGAGGAGAAGCCTGATTGGGGCTGGAGCCCTGAGATGGATCTGTACACATGGGCCAGAGTAAGGGGTGGGGATTGGCTTTGCCCTCTGCTTTTGTGAATAAAATGTCACCAGAACACAGCTGTGCCTGTGCCCTGGGGACTGTCTGTGGCTGCCCTTGGGCTACACTGGCAGAGCTGGGCAGTTGCAACAAGGACTTGAAGGGTCAACTGTCTGACTTGCACAGAAAAAGGCTGCTGACCCAAGAGCATAGAGTGAGGGATAAGTGGAATAAGGTGGGGCTGCCCTTGAAGAGACCCAGAGTTCAATGTGTAGGGGCTTACAGGGCTCTGCATGGAGAGGGGTGGCAGGGAGGGAGGAGGCAGAGTAGTGCATGTGAAGAAGGCAGGGGTGCTGAGGGTGTCAGGTTGAAGACAGGTAAGCATAGGACTGCCCATTGAGTCCAGCATGGGGGGACCATGGGGCCCTCCCAGGGTATCATTAGAGTGATGGG